GATGAAAAAGACGCCAAAATTGACAAAAAAGTTTTATCATCCTATTTGTTTATGTTATTAAGAGGAAAGATTAAAGTATTTTTGGGGTATTTTTTTTCCATTTTTTTTAATTGTTCCGAGCACGTCCAAGATTTTCGTTAAAAATCTTGTTTTTTTTTTGCGTCAGCAAAATTGACCATTTTTTCCATTTTATAAAAAAACTGGAAATCTCACTTTGAAATTCTTTTAAATATCAATTATCATTTTTTCAAAACTTATTTTAAGAAAATCAGAAATTATAATGTTTATTTAAAATATTTTGAACCAAGCTTAACTTAGCTTTTGCACCAAAAAGATGTAATTTAAAAATAAAACAAAGCAGGTCATAAACTTTCGCTTCACTTGACAGGTGATGAATGACATTGACAGATTCCCGAGGCTAATTTGTTCTATGGAAGGATAAAAGTGAAATAATTTACATTTAAGTGAACAAATTATTTACCCTGTTATTTTTAACGAAAACTTTCAGTGCTCTGTTTTTTTTTTTGTACTTAGCTTTCACCTTTTCGTTTACGATGCTTTATGGAAAATATAAAAAAGTTAAAATAAGACTTAAGAGTGACATTAAATTTCATAAGAAAGGTATCTAATTAATTTATAGGTACCTTTATTATGAAATTTTATCAGAAGTGTACATAAAACACTATAATTTTATGTACATTTATTACATTTTTCTGTATTATTTGTATTTCCATTCATTTTATTATTAATTGTGATATTTCATTTATGGAAAAATGTCATAACTGAGATTAATATAAAAATAAGATCATAAATTTCATAAGATGATACTGTTACTTGTAGGTACCCTTCTCAGTTGAAATTGAAAAATCAAATTAACTTCTTGACACATGTTTCGCAAAAGTAAAGGCCTTAACAGCGGAGAACAATGCTTAATTCAAATAACGCAACTTAATCATATTCTGGTTGGTCTTCCATACATTATAATTGCAGCTCAATTATAAACACAAAATCACATTTTTTAATTACTGCAGATCTTCTGATTAGTCAAAATTTACAACGCGCTAAAAAAAGATCTATTTCATAAGTAGACTTAGGAAACCCGATGCGGCTTTTAACTAAATTTTAACAACTTAAATGTAAAAATCTATTATAATTAAGAAATTACAAATAATTGTATTAAAAATTCATTTTTCATCGAAAAAATTTTTTGCCTTCAGAAAATATTGTCCATATTCATAAAAGCAAATAAAAGTATTTGAAGTTAAATAATATCTTTGTTTTATTGAGTTTTGTATGTTACAATTCAGAGCTGATTTTCAGGTAGGGGGTCCAGTTAAAAAAAAAAAAAACGGGATTTGCATTCCTCAAAGCCTTGTGCTTTTAACTATTGTAATCACTAAACCTGATGCGATCGAATTTCTAGTGTTTTCATAAAATTAGTTGCGGAGGGGGGGGAATAAAAATTAAAAAAATATTTCTGCCATGACTTTAATAAAAAAAAAAAAACAAAACATTTATAATAATTTTGATCATCTGTGAATAGTTCCTGAAAGTTTCATTAACATCTGACATTTATATTTTTGCAAGATTTTCCAAATTAATGTGTCATACCAAAAAAACGTGCTAAAAATTGTCTGTTATTTACTAGTTCTGTTAATACAAAGAGAAACAAGGTTTTTTTTTTTTTTTTTAAATCAAAATTTAGAATGTTCTAAAAAGAAGGAAAAAATTTAAAAAATAATTAAAAAAAACTTGCCTCTTTATAATAACAAGCTATTAACAAGACGATAAAATTTTGTTTTTGGCAAGGTCTGCGTCTTTTTCATCAAGCTATGCTCTTTTTTAGCGATTTCATGGAGGTACCTATATGCAACAATAATGTAATGATATTCTGCAGACAAATCTATGGTTTATGTTACCTCATCTCACTGCATGGTTACGAACTGTAAATCTAAATTGAGCTTGAAATATTGTGTAATCGGCTCTAATTTTTTTATAAAATACTTGGATATGATATAATGAATAATTTGCAGTGAAAAAAGCAATTTTTGACTTTTTGTCCAACACACCCCTCCTTTGCTGAACGTGTCATATAATGTAGGTCATTTTTAGTGGGTATGTGTATTTGAGTTGTTATGCCTGTTTTTTGTTAAACAGTGAAATTAATAATTGGCCTAAATTAATGTTTATGGCAATAAAGAAATAATGTTGGAAAAAAAAAAAAAAAATATATATATATATCTCCAAATGTGAAAAAGAACAAATGGCGTAAAATTCCACTGTAATGTTTACTTTTTAGTAAAAAAAGTGCTCAATACAAAGTAGAGCAATATATTTTTATTATAAGAGATTAGAACAAAAACATCACTACACAATAGCTTTTGTGTTTCGGCACTATGTTGTGCCTCTTCAGGCGATAGTAAGTGACTGGTGATTAAATGATTAAGAAAATTTCCAAAAGCAAAGTGTTTTTTGAAAGAAAAAAGGGCAGCTGAGGAAACAAGGTCAAAATTAAAAATAGGCTTGTGAATTTGCCTTGATCAACCAACCAAGTGTCAGATCAATGCTAAAATAGAAAATTGAGCTCAGAGGGTGGAGATGGGGGAGTTATTTTTTTCATGGCATGATAAACTGGAACATCATTGACATTTGTGAAAAACATGCAGGCAACAAATGTATCCCGATTGTAGACAAGTCACTTACCATCAGCTGAAGAGACAACATAGTGCCGAAAACAAAAGCTATTGTGTAGTGATTTCAACACGATTTGTTCTAATCTCTTCTAATAAAAATTTATATATGTACATACACACGGTGCGATGAATAAATTGTCATCTAAATTACACAAAAATGAAAATGCTGACATCTCATTTTAACAGATATATTTACCAAAATTACACAAAAATAGCTTGAAATACTAAAGAGTAAATTTATTCAATAAAATCGCCATTGGCTTTACTCATGGCCTCCAGATGACTTTGGAATCTCCTGCAACTCTTCTAGATGGTCTCTTTGATTAAGTTTATGTTGGTGAATGCTGCGACAATCTTTCCCTTCAGTTCAATTTTGGTGTTACAAGGAGTTTTGTTGGTCTCTTTCTCAACTGTGCCACCACACATAATGACTGGTCACAGTCTGGGGAGTTAGGAGGCCAGATGTAAGGGATGAGGTAGTTGCAGAAATTGTCTGACATCCATGACTAGGTTCACCTGCTTGTGTGGCATGGTGCAGAGTCCTGTTGCTAGATATAGAGATATCCAGAAGCCACCCTAGGGCAGCACTACTTCCTCAAGGCACTTGATGTAAGATTCCATATTGAGTCTAAGGTCTTGTGGAAAGATTAATAGAGGCATAATGTCACCATCACTATTGATCACTCCAAATCTCCTGTACTGTCATCAGATTGATACCCAAAAACCCTGGAATGTTTGTAGTGAAGCTTCCGGCATGAATGCCAAGCAGTACAGCATGCCGTTTCCAAATTTCTGGTGGAGTGAATTGTATCATTGTACTGTGCCCAGCTGACCCTACTATACTGTACAGTAAAAAAAACAAAAACAAAAAACATGTGCTGCAAAATTAATATAAAATGGTAACAATTTACCCATCATACTGTGTGTGTGTCTGCACTAGTAGGATATAGAATCTGAACAATTGGAAAAATGAAGACCACTTCAAGTATATATTTTTTTTATTACTTAGACATTATTTTTAGTAGATATTTGAGTAGAAGCTCCATTTTCTTTCTCTTCTTTTTTAAGGGTGTGTATTAAGTCTACCAGTCTGCATATTCAAGAAAACTTCATTTTTCCAGCAGGGTATAAAACTGCACACTTTTGTAGGAGAAACCACCATTTGATCCAGCGTTGATGAAAAATAATTTCAATACATGCCCAAAAGCTTCAAAATAAGTTCCAACACAAAATTCATACCTACTGCAGATGTGGTACAATGTTTGTTCCATTTCACCTGCTATTATGGAAACTAAGTTCAAATTCTGTCCAAGGATAGTTTGTTTTAAATTCTAGAAATCTACTTCTCTGAATATGTCAGTAACTGATTACTCCTGACTTCTAGTACCGTGTAACTCAGTACCACCGGTTGCATTTACTTGGAGGAGATGGATGTTGCCAAATAATCTCCACTGCCCTTAAAAGTAATGTTAAGGACCTAACATGCTTGTAAATTTTATTTTGATGCAGGAAAAAATTAATATTTCTATCAGGAAAGAATCATTTGAATATTTCAAGTATCACTCTCAAAGATAAAATTTATAGGATTATTGAAGGTATTATGTATAGACTAGTGTAGGATCATTAATATATTGGTAATATAATTAAAAGAGTAACTTTATACAGAGTACTTATCTAAGTAGATAAGCAGAGTACTTATATCTAAACTAGTTGAAACAAAAGCTTTTACAATTCCACTTATCTAAACCAATGGTAAATACTACAGGTTGTTAACTAAAGATTTTGAAGGCATCTGAATGGATGCAAAAGAATTTACAAATTGTAACAACATGCTTATATATATATATATATATATATATATATATATATATATATATATATATACACACACACACACACACAGAGAGTGATCAAAAAGTATCAGAATGGGTGCTATAAAAATAAAACTGCAACACATATCAAGTCAGCGTTTAATCTCCTTTATCCAGTGTTGTTTCCATTGATGGAAGCTCCTGGGATTGTCTCGTTGCACCTCTTAGATTGCCTTGATTTGTTTCGAAGGGGAAAAATGTCATAAGGGGATAGATCTAGGGAATATGATAGTTGTTGAATTTGGGGAATGTTGTGCTTTCCCAAAAACTGCTTCACAAGCCATGGTCACTGATGGAATCTGTGTGGTGTGGTGAGATGACCACTCTCTAAACACTTTCCTTCCAAGCACTGCTATAAACAACGAACGTGAGTTTGGTAGAAATCAGAAATGGCAATGGAAAGAGAATGTGAGTAGGAAGAGAAATGGATACTTACCTTTGGCACCACGTAATACAAATCCAAAACCATTTGGTCCTTTGCGAAGAACAACAGCTCTCGGAGCATAATCACTGGAGAGAAAAGAAAAAACAAATAAGAAACTAAATATCTATACATACACAATATAATGTATTGTAATTTGTTTTTATATGAAGTTCACAGAGTACAGACAAGAGAGCCACTCAAGGTAGAGGGCTACTGTTGAAAAATGATGAGACGTATAATATGAAATAAGAATAGGTGGTAGATAGTCCAGATTTCATAGCAGGACTGGCTATTCATATTCAAGTATGCTTGTGTTAAGGTGGCTAACTGATACCCGTTGCGGATGCCTGCTCAGTAATACTCGTTTATTTATCATCTACAAAGTTGGTCAATATTTCCACTGCTGAGCAGATCTTAGTTTCAGTTTCTAAGAGGTTACATAATCTGGTGTGATCAACAGTTTAAACAAGGCCAGTACGCTCAAACCCTCAGCCACAATGACTTATGACTTCATGCTAGCATAACCAATGATGGTTTTTGAACAGTTATCCCAACCCAATTTCATTCACAAGGCTAAGTACAATCCATGATTTTTGCATACTTCTTAATGATACTACACAGAGATTGTTTCCCCAATCTGATATTATCAAAATCATGTCTTTGATAAACAGACCATGGTGACTTTTGAACCACTTAACCATGCACCCACTAATATAATAAAAATATAGTTTTAAGTTATGCTATATTTATATGTTAAAGTGCTCAGTATTAAAAATAGAGAGTACGTAAATATAAAAAGTGAACACTGAGGTCAACACATGACCTGAAGATTGTGTTTAAGCATGATGCAACAGACTGTTGCTGCTGGGTGTTGACCTCAGGGTCCACTTATATAACATTTTTTTTTTTCTTTTAAATGGCTTTTTTTAACTTCTATTGTGATTTTTAAAATGTCATCACCAAATTCTAAAAATAAATTTTGTGCTTGAACCTGTTGGCACAAAACTTGATATTTGGTTGATATGGTTGAATGGAGTTTTCAGTTCACATTTGTTTTGTTTTAAAAACAATGTATCATATTTGATAACACACAACCCTCACTCACAAAATATACCCAGAAAAGTATTTCCTGGGTCTTATGTGAAGCTGGGGTATCTGATCAGTTTATGTTTATCCAGACTCCATAGCAGCTCTCAAAAACCAATTCAATGGTATATTAACTGATTCTTTAAAAAATAGGTTTTAATCCACTTCCATGCTGGTTTTGATTTAGACCAAACTTTAGATTTATAGAGATACAAAGATTACTTGAAATCAAATTGGATTTATTTAATTTTGACTTATTTACAGAATAACCCAAGAAATTGTAAAAATAAAATTATAAAAAAAAAAAGTTCATAATGGCAGTGAGATGCTGACAATTTTGTGGCATTATTTTAAACTTGTCATTGAAGCCAGTGAAAGTAGAATTTAGGAAGTGGATGGAAATTAAATAATATCTGACCATATGGAACAAAACTTGTTTAAGCATTTCAAAGATGAGCTGTTCCTTGAAATAAAACCCAAAAGTGCATGAGGACCAGATTATGAGGAATTAAAACACAAAGCAGAAGAGAACTGTCATCTGTCAAGAACTTTTATGATTAGGATCATCAAAAGGTAACTTATAGAAAGCATTACATTATGCTTAAAAAAAATAAAAAGCCTACAAGAACTATTATGTAATATCAGTCCTCCTATATAGCAGTGAACATTGGACAAACTTCTCACAGATGAAGAAACTTGAAGCAACAGAAATGTGGTTCTCTAAGGAAACATGGACTGAGCATGTGAGCAATGACAAAGTTTTAGAGAAAATGGAAAGAAAAAGGAGAGATTTTTTTTATTTAGAATCAGAAAGATAACTGAAATTTGTAGGATAGAAAGAGGGCTTGGAAAATTTGATACTCACAGGACAGATTGATCACAAGATGCATAGCCTAATTAGCAAGTTTGAGTAAATGGATGGCAGAACATGGTTTAGGAGAGAACAAAAATACAATTTATTAAGAGCTACAATGGACAGAAAATTGTGGAGGGCCATGATTATCAATATCATATAGGGAAATGGCACATAGAAGGATTATCCATTTGGTTAATATCCATTGTCAATGACTTCAGGAATTGATTTCCGCATTCCAATAGTTCCTCTTCCCCATGTACTTGGGGACATTAAGGAAATGACTTTTCTACTTTAAAAAATACAATCTATTTATAATTTAATAAGCACTACTCTTTCACTCTAAGCTCTTTAGGGGTGGGATGAAAAAAAAATGCCAACACATTTTCTACTGCCATTAGTATTGAAAAAGATTAAAAGGAAATTATTTTTCTTTTTTTTCCCCCCCAAGAAGAATACAAACACATTAGATTAAATCTAAAGGACACCAGGTTTTTTTTTTTTTTATAAAACTTATCTCATAGCAACAATCAGAAAACAATTTCTGCTAAATCTTATTGTATAACATTCATCAAAACTGTATATCATTTCTTCCTCTAGTCTATACATTGAAGTATCAGATCATTGTAAAAATTCAAGCCAGAATTTCATTGTTAATATAAAATGATCGCAATCTGACAGTCTTTTGTTTTGGTGCTGATTTCTGGCATGTTCTAGATTAAAACTTTGCTTCATTCAGTTGCGAGTAAGACGGTGTTGAATATTGAAGTTTTGTCTCCAAATAAATGCATTAAAGAGGATGAAAAGTTGCACTTTCATGATATTATGCTCTACGAATTGGAACTGCAACAAAAAAATCATTCAGAAGGTTTATCTGGATTGTGCTCCAGCTCTTTGGAAGGTCAAAAAGTGGTTTGGCAGATTTCGAAAGCTGTGCACAATGATATGAGAGACTTTCAATAGGGTTGTGTTGCATATGAAAAACTAAAGATTCATTAAAAGGTCTCATGTTAATTTTCCTGAAAATGTTGCTACAAAATTTGATTTAATGTGTAATGAATGTGTTTGCATCTGTCTAAGTAGGGAAGGCCTTAAAAATAATAAAATGTGTCAAACGCAGTGAAAAAGTTATTTATTACATATTATGTAGTATTTATGTAACAACTACTGCAAAAGACACCTGGTGTTTTTGTCACATCTATACAAGTGAATGTAAGATCCTTCCAGGATGAAAATGTCACATCTGTGTTGTTTATATTTGAGGATGGAACAAGCGATGACATTGTTTGAAAAGGAGTTGCAGTCATGTGTGTGTGTACACACATCTCTGACCATCTAAACTTAGTGTCCTAGAAAGATAATAAAATTAAAAGAAAAAAAAAAAAAAAAAAAAAAAAAATTAAGGATTTGTATTTAATGACATCTGAACAATGTTTAATTTTTATCACTGACGTTTTCTCCAGTGAAAAGGGCATTATGAACAAATAATGTAAATAAGTTGTTTATAACTGAGAAAAGTTATTAACATTTCAACGTTGTTCAGATAACTGAATCCTTCCTTTGAGCTGTTTGAATATTTTGGTTCAGTCATTTTGAAACCTTCAGGTGGAAGATAAATGTATAAGAAAAAAAAAGAATTTTTTTCCTCTACTGATGGATTTTACACAAGAGAAAAGATATAAAATGGTTGGTTGATTTTGTTTAGCAACATATCAACCTCTATGGGTTATTTAATGCCAAATTCTAGATATTTGGTACATAATTTTATGCTTTCAACTACAGATATTTTGTACATAGTTTTATATTTTCAGAGCAAAAAGGTATGTTTTTCTAGATATATATTTTGTAGATCATAAAATGTATTGTTGGTAATTTTACTATAAAAAAGTAGTTTTATTTTTTTTTTGTCATAAAAATGTGTTGTTGCTCAGTTTATTACTAAAAATTACTGTCAAGTTTTGTTTAAGGGTTTACTATTTGCCTATAGCTTTGACCCTAACAGGTGCTACTACCCTGGGCCAGGTTGGATCTAGGAACAATAGTAGTTAAGAGGTGGTTCCACACTCTTCAAAACCCCCAGAGGCCTTGCTGCCAGATGTAGTTTATCATCATACCTAAGATGACGATGTAAAATGAACCTGTTGAAACTGTGCAAACATCAAAAGTATTCCATTGTTAAAAGAACAAGAAAAAAAATTGTAACAGTAAATTTATTGTCAGTTAAGAAGACTGTATTGCACCAATCTTCTGAGGGCTTTCCTTATAAAAAAAAAAAAAAAAAAAAATTGTATTTGTGGGCTGTATTAGCCACTTGGCTTTATACAGAGTTTGCATTGCTTTAGTCGTTTATAGAATTTGTAACAAAGATGTACACTTTGTAAAGAGTGGAATAGAAAGTGAACTAAATATGTTATCTAAGGGGGTGGGGGCAGAAACTCACATATTACTTGACATCAGATGTCCGATCCTAGATTACCCGAATTAGGATAATCTCGAGAAATATCTGAACAACAATTTTATTAAAGTCTAGTTTGGAAATTCACTGCGGTAAAAGCATCAAACAAGTGTTTTTCTTTTTAGAGATATGCTTGTAGCAAGCTACAAAGACAATATTAAGGTTAACAAGTTCCTAAAAATGACAGATGGTGGTTGTCAGTTGTATTTAATCAGTGTGTGTATATATATATATATATATCTTGCCTGCAATGTACTCTTGTGGTTTGTTGACAATACTTAATGGAATTTGTTTTGACAGGATCAGGTAAAAACGTAAGCATGACAAAAGGTAGTGCTAATGTTATAAACAAATGCAGTATTGGTTTAGGAGTGGGTGGTTATGTTCTGGTATATTCAAACAAGATTTGGTTAGGAGGGTAGTAATTCAGAAGAAAAGACAGGAGTAGTTCATGTAAGATATAAAGTCATGATAATAGCATCTTGTGTTATGGCAAGAATTTAGGTTAATATGAAGAATTATGTATTTAGTGAAGGTGCAGCTTAAAATATTTCACTGACACAATAGCATCTTTCTGAAAAATCCTGTTTAGATTTAAGTGGAAAAGAACGTAATATCAACCACTTTGTACAGGAATATTTCAGGAGTTGATATCAAATATGGATTGAAATCCAATAATGATAAAATAAAGA